CTCTGACCGGTTGAGTCCCGCTAATCGGCACTGGCTCAGCCCTCCGCCTTCTGTGGGGAGGTCGCCTCTCCGCGGGCCCCCTTCCCGGAGGCAAAAGCCTCACTCGGGACCTGACCCGCTGCTGGGAATTTTCTGGGCCAGTCTTCTGGGCCCACCGCGCTCCACAGCTCGCCCTCTGAGGCGACTGGCAGGGATGCATGGGCTCGCCCTCTCAGAGTCGCTGCCTGCCCACCGCCTCCTGCAGGTTCAGGGTCTCCAGCAGGGGCACCAGCACATCCTTCTCATTCCGCCACCAGTGCCCGCAGAGACACACCTCCCTCCCCAAATCTTGCACACAGCCCTCAGTCTCCCCGACACAACACACACACACACACACACACACACACACACACGACCTAGGACTCCTCCCCCCATTACCTCTCGCCCCCGTCCCTCTTTTACATCTTCTAATTGACTGTTGTCTACAATTGCAACCAATTGTTTCTGTGTAAACTTAATTAAAAGATTTTCCTGGAAAGATTGTTGATGTTCAATCGGCTTACTAGCAAGCAGCTTAATTTTTTAAAAATCAGTGACTAAGAGCAAACAGCATTTGCGCGTCTCATTTACTGGTGGCTGGCTACCCTGCGGGCGCTTCTGTGAACAGTAGGGTAAAATCGACCTTCCTGTTCAGAGCGATGGTGAGAATCTCCACCCTCCAGCCTAGAGAGCTGTCCTGGGTAACACACTCAAGGAGGAAAATTCAGCATCCCATCCTCTCCGTCTTCAGTGCCTCCTGACTTAGTCTTTGGCTAGTCTTTAGGGCAGGGTGGGAGTTGGCTGGTACTGCGCTGCTGCCCCTGCTGGCTTCCCAGGTGGAGTCAGTGGTAAAGAACCCTCCTGCCAATGCAGGAGAGGTAAGAGATGCAAGTTCGATCTTTGAGTGTGGAAGATCCCCTGGAGGAGCGCCGTGCAACCCAGTCCAGTATTCTTGCCTGAAGAATCCCAAGGACACAGGAGCCTGGTGGGCTACAGTCCATAGGGTCCCACAGAGTTGGACATGACTTAAGTGACTGAGCACCTAGGCATGCACACTGCACCTGCAACTTGGTCTGTTGGCTTGTGGAGCTCTGAGGGGCCCAGGGATGCCTCAAAGGCGCTTGCTAGTCTTAGCCTGCTATGAACAGCTTTTTAACATCCACCTCTCAAGCCTTCTCCAAAAAGGCATGAGAGGAGATGTTCCTTCTTGGCTGGGCCTAGTCTCTGGTTGGTACAGACCAACCTAAGCTGGGTGTGGGAGTCCATGTCCATAAAGAGACGTTAACGAGAAACTTGACCTGTGCCAGAACGAAAGGGAAGACCAAGGCCCTCGCCTCCTGGAAGCTGAAGGGTGGGCATTACTTCTGGCATGGACTCCCTGTCCCAACCCAGCAGCCCATCCACCCTGGGCAGTGTGGCCTCCTCTTTTTCCCTAAAATTCCTGGGCATCTGGTCCCCTGGAATTGCCACAGTCCACCTCTAAACTCTTCTTCCAACCTTTCCTTGAAATTAAGTTTCAAATGGTGACTCCTTAAAATGTCAATAACCAAAAGCACCAGTTAGTGCTCTGTAAATGTTTGCTTTTGTATGGATATAGCCCAAAAAAGAGACTCCAGTGAAGGGGCTGCAGACCTGGAGAGGGCAGCATGTTGGTATGCTGGGCTTTTAGTATCTTTCAAGCAGCATATTGGCAGTCACTGCCTTGTGCGTGGAATCATTGCTGGCGCTGAGACCTCTATGACAGTAGCAGGAAAGAAAAAAGCAAGCATCCATTAGGGAATAGATAAAGATTTCAGAGTTTGAAAATATACTTGTTTTCCACCCTCTTCCCCCTTCTCTGCACCCCGAAGCAAACAGCGCTTTTGATTTAAAGCGTTATTATTTCTTACCTGGATTATTGCTAAAACTGCTAACTAGTTTTCCTGTCTGCATATTCACACTGTCATCCGGTTTTACATCTGTCTGTAAGGTGGCAATCTGCCTCTTCCCTTGTCCCTGGGCCCTAGTAAACTCCTCCATTGTCTTGAAATAGAACCCAAACCACACTGTGTCCAGCTTTCTGAGCTTACCCTTGGCCGGCCTTCAGCTGCATTTCTCACCATCTCTACTAACCCGCTATATTCCAGCTACAGCTAGCTATTTACCTGAACTTGCCTCCTTTGCAAATACTTTTCTTCAGCCTTTACTTCTCTTTTCCTTCCAACACACACACACACACACACACACACACACACACACACACACACACACACAGCTTTTACATGGCTGATTCCCACGCAACTCTGAAGACTTGGTCCTCAGGATGCCTTCCCTGTGCTGGACCCAGTTTCTTTTCTAGATAGTTCCTCCTGTAGCACAGAGGACACACCTCTATGACGGCACTTACTATCCAGTCTGTCCCCTGGCCCCTTTCATCTTCCCTAAGTATTAATTGTAAAGTATTTGGACTCTGAGCAGCTCAGTCCCTGAGGAGATGATAAGAAAACACTTCATGTGTAGTGAAAGGATATGAGCTTTAGAACTAAGTGGACTTGGGTTCAAACTTTTGATTCTTTTGCTGTGCAATTTTTAGCAATTTACTTAACCTCTCTGAATCTTAAGATTCTTTGTAAAATCAGAATAATAATATCTACCTCATGGAATTATCGGAGAAGGCAATGGCACCCCACTCCAGTACTCTTGCCTGGAAACTCCCATGGACTGGAGGAGCCCGGTAGGCTGCGGTCCATGAGGTCGCTACGAGTCGGACACGATTGAGCAAATTTACTTACACTTTTCACTTTCACACATTGGAGAAGGAAATGACAGCCCACTCCAGTGTTCTTGCCTGAGAATCCCTGGAGAATGCCAGGGACGGGGGAGCCTGGTGGGCTGCCGTCTATGGGGTCGCATAGAGTCGGACACGACTGAAGTGACTTAGCAGCAGCAACAGAAGCAGCATGGAATTATTGTGAGCATTAAATGAGACAATTCATATTAAAAATGTCTGCTCCTCAATTCTCACTTACATGTGCTTTTCCTGGTTCTGACGACCTGGCCAGTGAGACAGCTATTGAAGGTCCTTAGACATTTTTTTCCTCTGAGCATCTGCATCTACAGACAGTTTTTGATAACGTTTACCTTACAGGGATTTATGGAGATGAGATGATTCAAGGTATATGAAACCAGTTTATTAAATTAAAATGACATGGTAGGACCCAAGCAGAAAGCACTTTTATTCTTTATCATATCTTCACCTTTAATCTCAACGCATGGAGTCAGTTTTTTGTGGTTCTGGATGAAGCTTCAGGCAGTTTCTGTATATTTTTCTGTTTACCTTCAAGTAGTAAATAGTCCCGATCACTTTCATGAGTGGGAAAATTGAAGAAAATAATTGGATAATATTTACATTAATATTCATATTAATGTGAGGAAGAAATACTTATAACTACTAGTCTTCATTTCTATAATGGGTCATGTAGTCAAAGTTGGCATTTTTAACTTCTCTGCTATTCACTCCATATTCCTTTTGCTTTCAGCAAATACCTCATCTAATATAGTCACTGAAAGACACATATATATCATATTTTACTTATGTATAACTAATCTAGGCAGACAAATTAATTTCAAAGCTGGCAGAGCCCAAAGTTGTGGGTCTGGGGAGGAACAATTCCCCTGGGGATCACTAAGAGTAACAATAAAGGAGCCATTCCCATTCCAGCCCCTTAATTTTCAGACTCATGAATCCCAGCTATGCGAGAAACAGCACTATATATTGGTCACTGATTCAGGGCATATACAGCATCCTGGGGACATTACCTAAGCCCTGCCCAGTGTTGGCACTCAGCTTGTGTTGTAACTAAGTCTCAAAAAAAAAAAAAGAAACCCACCATTCTTTCAGGCCATTTAATTCAAGGTGATCAGACATATAAGACCTGTGAATTCTATGATCATGAGCTCTTTACCATACATATCTCATTTACTTTTAAATGAGTTCCTTGGTCAGACGCTATGCTTGGTGGAATGCTGTGAGAATGAACAAGATATTCTAGAAGTCCAAGACGGTAGTTTTGGCAGAAGCAGGTAAGCAAAGAAGGAAAACTCATGTTCAGATCAATAGCTCATATTAGGTGTCAGAGGATGTCTGCTCCAGTAAAGAAACCATGTCTGGGACAGAAACTGAAAATAGAGCCTGCCTGGTTAAGTTTACGATAACTCATTGTCATTTTCAAGATCTGTCTGTCTTCTGCACAGAACAAGCACAAAACAAAAACAAGTCTTGTTGGCCATATGGTTTCTCTGCAATGACTTGCTCTGCTATAGCGGGAAAGAGTAGTCACAGACAATAATAAGCAAATGAGCATGGTTATATTCCAATAAAACTTTATTTACAAAGACAGGTGGTGGACCAGATGTGGCCCATGGGCTTTGGTTTGCAGACCCCTGTACTAGGCTCTAAATAAGCCCAAAGCCATCAAAACTGGGTGCACAGGTCTCCCAAAGACTGATAAGGGCTCCATTCTGTCTCCTCCAAGGACAGAAATCAAGCTTCATTTTAATTATTTTGTGTAGTGCTTTGTTTTGTTTTGATGTTCTTCTGAGTGATCTCAATCCCCCCCTTTTATCCCATTTCCCCTCTTTCTGTGTAGACATCTCTAAGTGCTTCCCATTCTTCTTCATTCTGTTCTTTTGAACTTACAGGGTCAAGTGATTTTAGAGTGAGGCTCTTTCACATTCATCCTTGCTAACATTCTGGTTTCTTTCCAGATCCCTCATCTATACCAGGGTAAGAGGCAATGTGCAGTAGGATAAAGAGCACTTGTCTGGATCACTGGGCAGGATCTGCCACCAGCTTGCTGTGTGATTTTGAGCAAATTACCTTACCTCTCTGAGCCTTCCTTTTTTCATCTTTCAAATGAGGGTGTTGGTTAATGATCTCTAAAATCCCTCCTAGCTCTAAGATTGTGATTTTAGGAAGTGGTGGCTTCAACTCCAGCCAACTGTCAGGGGCCATTAATTAGGATGTCACTCACAGACCTTAATGAAACTGCCAGGAGGCCACAGAAATTAGCCACATGATCTTCTGCAGTTGGCAACCTTCCTTCCAAAGCTGGGTGGGTAGGGTTACCAGCCAACTTCAGGAAATCTGAGAGCCCATCCCACTTAAGGGAGAAAGGGAACATAAAATGACTCCAGGACCTCTGTACTCCAGGAAAATTCATTTGCATTCCTGTACTTCCATTGAGATAGCTACAAAATGTGCACAAATATTGACTTAGTTGGAAGCAGGATCCAAGGGAGCTTCTGTTGGGAGATGACATGCTTTTCCTTCTCCACCAGATCCTGTTGTATGGGGCTCTCCTGGCCAAATAAAGAATACCCCTCAAAGCCCATCAACTAAACATATGAATGGGTCAAGAGGAAATGGAGGCTTTGAGGAGTTAAAAAAAAGAATGAGCAAACTCCAGCATGTGCCAAAGGAAAGCAGTCTTCTCTGAAGCAAGGATGAGGAAGGTCAGGGAGGACCAAGGAGCCTGGATGAGGCAGGGGCTGGTGGCAGTTGGCAGCTCAGGTATAGTATTATCCCCCAGCTCACAGCCCAGTGACTGCAGATGCAGCAAGATGGGCAGGAGACTGGAGTCCTCTCCCTCCCTCCTGGACACAGTCTTGAGGGATGGGAAAGGAGTAGAGAAGCCTGCATCCTGGCTTCAAGGAGAGCAGGCTCTTCCTCTCCGACTCAGTTAAAGCTGTCTCATTTGTAGTCTAAATAATTCACTTGCCAATCTCTCAAGGAACATTAGAAGAAAAACAAAACCCGACCCAGCCCTCCAGCTCAGGTTCCCACTGCACTGAAGGCAGGCCGGGAGACAGACCCAAGCTGCAGAGATGGCCTGCCTTCAAAGGTTCATTGGGGCTGGCAACCTTCCAAAAATTGCCTGGGGCCTGGTTTTGTATAGCCCTTGAACTAAGAATGGTTTTCACATTCTAAAAGGCTTTTTTAAAAAACAACATGAAACAAAATAAACAACAAAGACGAATATGCCACAGAGACTGTCTGTGGCCTGTGAATATTTACTATCCTTTCCAGAAAGTATGCCAATCCCTTAACCCATTCCGAAACCTGAAGGAAGCAATGACCACCTTTGACCTACTCTTTGACTACCCCACCCTATGACCCCACTGTATGCAGAGAGATTCAAAGTTGTCAGAATTCTGACAGTAACAGTCTAGCGTGAAGCCAGCATCATTGTTCATCCTGTTACCAAAAGCAATGAAAAGGCAAAAACAAGAAGATAAACCCCGGAGTGGGGTGAATGTTCTTGATTTTCCCACATGGGGAGGGAGGGAGAGAGAGAGAAGCACAGAGGGGCTGAGACTAAGCCCCAACCCTGATTTGTCTTCTCTGAGAGTCAGAATTTAGCACTGTCCCAGCTGTTCTCCACTGACACCCTTCCCCTCAAGGCCCATCACATCCGGCAGTCCTGGCGATCCCAGTCGATCCCAGTTGATACCAGTAGTCACTGAGGCTGTCTGATTTTCTTACTGATGAGACATGCAAGTAATTTGCATCTCTGAGGCCTGTGTATGTGTCATCTCCAAACTATCTAGGGTGCCAATCTCACTGGCTGACCCTCAGGCCTGGACAGAGTCTCTATCCAGCCCACCAGGGGTTCCCTTGCTGCCCAGAAGGGCCTTAGAAGGAAGAGGACTCTGATGAGCCTACCCTGGATGCTACCCCAGACCCTCTCTTGGAGCCAGAGCTTCTGAGAGGTGTAGACTCCTAAGGACTCCGGAAGAGACAGGTTCGAGAGAACAATGAGGCCACCAGCTCAGAGTGCCCACCTGTAACTGGACTGTCAGGGGTCTGTTTGGAAGTTTTGGGGCTGAGGGCAGAGAGGAGATCCAGTGGCCCCACATCCTGGTGAGTAGATGTTCTGGATTATTTCAGAAAGGAGTCACCTTTGTAAAAGTTCTTGCTCGAATCATTTTGCTGTCCAGGCCAGTTTTTTGCAGATTCCTGTTCTTGAGCTAAAAATAGCATGGAAGACCCAGGCTGCAATCCTAATATCCAGGCTAAGCGAAAGGTTAGCAGTCTTAGAGATTTAGGAGCCCAAGCACTAAGACCTTGGGCCAGTCATCTCATCTCTGTGGGAATCAGTTTCGTCATCTGTTAGAATGAGCAAACAAACAAAAACTTGCGGTACCTGGGTGGGGTGGATTTACAGTCCTGTCCAGCCCATACCCAGCATGCCCAAAGCAGGCAAGGCCCCTGCAGAAGCTTTTCAGGAAAGTTGTTCGGCTTCATCTCGGCTTTCCCTTCCCAAGTCAATTCAGTCCCATCCAAATGAGATACAGGTGGTCAAGCATCAGGGGAGAGTTTTCCTTTAGCAGGTCAGCACTTGCAGGAGATTCAGAGGGACGTGAAGTGGGGAAGTAGTGGGTGGTGAATATGACCTCTTGTCTTTGTGCCCTGTGGCTAGGGGATGGCCGACGAGCTGTGGGAGTCTCCTCCTCAAACCCCAACATGCTCACAGCATATGGTCCAGAAACCACAGTCTGATACCACACACTTTAGTCTAAATTGTCCAGATTGCCTCTCGTCTGCTCTCCAACGTAACTGAACATTCCTTAAAGGGTAGGGATTGTATCTTGACCGTCTTCTGTCTCCCAGGAGAGCCCAGCATCACAGGTATGTGACTGGAGATGGGCCTGGAGATATGAAGTCTGGATCTGCTGAGAAGTTTGCAATGCCCATGGAAAGAGGACCGTGTACTGGGCACAGGGTATGGGTCAGGTAAGCAAATCCCAATATTTGCCAGCTGATAACTGGACACCCTTCTCTCGTCCACGGCTCAATCAAGCTGTCAGGTCATGACCCCAAGAGCTATCGTGTCACCTAGAAAGCAAGTGATGCAAGAAGGTTAGAGAAGGGAATGCCTGTGCCATCCCAGCATGTTAGAGATTCCCCTGGATATGCAGGTCATGTAGCGGTCATTGCTGCTGACCCCTTCCCCTGTAGCAGCCCAGACTGGGAAAGCACAGCCTGGTGGCCCAGGCAAACTTAAATCACTCACATGTCACTCCTGTTTGCTTCAGAGTAGCTGACAAATGGCAAGCACAGGGATCTACAGGCTACAAACCCAAACTTATAAACTAGTGACCAACGTCAGAAGCTCTGGGGTGGGTCTCTCCTAGTCTTGAATCTACTCAGCATGACTGTGTCCCTTGCCTGCCTGAAGATAGGAAGCTTGACTCTCGGTCTGGCCACACCTTACTTTGCTGTGGCTCCTGTTCTATGCGCTGTGAAAATGTTGCTCTCTTCAGAACTCCAGAGCCCGCCTCTCCTTCTCTGTTGTCTTGTTTGCGTGTTTGTTTGCTGGGTGTGATGGCAAAGGGGGAAGGCAGAAGGCAGGGTTCTGGCCTCTCCCGCAGTGTTACTCATCTACACAAGTGGCCATGACAGAGTGATACAGCTAATTAACTGTGACACGCATGGAACTGCTAAGAGTTCAATAAAACTTTAATGACCCTTGCTCTGTGGGGTGGGCAGCAAACCATGAAAATAACCACCCACTCCGGGGCTATCAGCACAGCCATTCAACCAGATGAAGGCAGGTGTGAGCTGTAAGGAGTGAATCATGGGAGCGTAGGGTGGGGCCTGTGGCAGGGGCGGGTGGGAAGAATGTCCACTGCAGATTCCACTTGGAATTATCTAGATTATTTCCTCGATTCTCTACTTTGTTCTAAGGACGTGACATTTTCTGGGAGGAAAACTCACTCAAGGCAGAGGGGGAAACCAAGGTTTACGGAGCAATGGAATCTGCTCAGAAGGACACATATGCATGCGTGCATGCTAAGTCACTTCAGTCATGTCTAACTCTTTGCAACATGTGGACTGTAGCCTGTCACACTCCTCTGTCCATGGGATTCTCCAGACAAGAGAATCCTGGAGAGGGTTGCCATTCCTCCTCCAGGGGATCTTCCCAACCCAGGGATTGAAACTGTACCAGAAGGACACACTGGATTTCAAACCCAGAAGACCTGACTCCAGCCCCCAGAGTCTAGACAAACCCAGCAGAGACTGTCTGGGATGAGCCCAGAGGGTCTGCCGCTCTCACTGTGGGAAACCAGCATCCTAGATCCCAGGCCTCTGTGCCCCCTTGTCCCACCCCTGGTGAAGGCAGAAGAGTAGGGGTGGGATGAAGTGTCCACCCCTGGATACCTTGGTGGTTCTGACTTTGTGTCCACTGCTGCAACTCCACCCCGACAGGTCCGGGAGCACTTTACACTCCTCCCCTGGCAGGCAGGGCTCCATGTGACACCACCACTTCTGCAGGACTACGGAGGCTGTGGGAGCAGGAGGCAGTGAGGGCAGATCTAAACACTCTGCATGCAGTGTGGGGGGGGGGGGGGGCGCTGGTCTGTGCAGAATGAAGGGCGTGTTCCCACATACCCTGGCTTTGAGCCCTGCATTTGTCTTGTCTTTTCCTGACTCTGAGCTGCCTGCAAGGCAGTACTCAGGCTGAGGCCTGGGGACACAACCACACAAACCTCAAGCCTACTGACCTTCCATCTCACCAAAGCCAGGGCAGGGTGATGGGGAAGTGATTTCTAAGGCAACTCTTGACTTGAGCCACCTGGTTAATAGCAGAGAGGCACAGCCTTCGACACACACTTTTGGATAAGTGAGCAAGTGTGCAAGTCATCTGAGGGGGCCACAGGCCAGGAGTGCACAAGTAGGCACGTATGTGTGAGAGAGAGGGAGAGAGCACAAGTGGGCGTGTTTATAGTGCTGCCATGTGAGCATAGAAAAATGAACATGGGCAGGGCTGCGGGAAAGGCATGAATAGGAAGGAATCCACTGCTGAGCGACGTGTGTGGAGGGTAAAGGCGGGCTTGAGGATGAGAGGGGCTGTGAGAGGTCTGGGAAGGAGCCGTGGGTGAAGAAGTCAGCGTCTGGAGGAGTGGGTGTGAAGTAATGAGCCTGCCAGGAGGCTGAGAGGATCCCCCTGAGGAAATGGACCCGCGCCTCTGTCAGGCAGTAGGTGCGGTCTGGAGGGAGGGCGTGTGCATGTGATGGCACTCTCCTCATTTCTGGGATGGGGATGGTCACATCTGTGCCCCTCCTCCCCAGAAGTGGCTCCTTCATTTGAGACTCCCAGGGTGAAAGCCCTGAGATGGGCATGAAATTGCATCCCTAGCAGATGGCGAAGCCCGGACAGACCTTCTTATCTCTCTGACCAGGCCCTCCCCGCTGGGTCCCAGCCTCTCACTCACCATCCACACAGGAGGGCTTTGCCCGGGTGGTGCCGGCCACCTGGCCAGAAAAGCAAGAGCACTTAACGGTCTGGGAGCGCTCCTCGATGTGGTTCCGGTTACAGCAGCGGTGGGTGGCGATCACCTCGCAGGTGCCCTGCTTCACGGGGACTGAAGGGGCCAGCACAGATCCAGATTGGGTGGCCAGCCCAGGCCAGTGACCCTCCTCCCCTTCCCCGCAACTCCATGTTCTCAGCCCCTCCTCCCAGCTCGGGGCAGGGGTAGGTAAGAGATTTCCAATTGTAGGGGAGGAGGAAGTGGATGAAATCTCCCTGCCACGTCCCAGGGCTCCTGTCCTTCCTTCCTCCCCAGCGAGGCCACACTCATCACCCTGGCAGAGTCTAGCCCTTGGGCAGGAGAAAGATGGAGTCCACACCAACCCCCACCTCCTGGCCTCCTCCGGGTGAGGCCAAGGGCCTCGGGGCTTACAATGCGTGGGGGAGGATGATCCGCTTACACCAGCTTTAGCCATCCCAGAAGGAAAACCACAGAATTAGGCCAGGAGGCTAGACTTAAGCCCTGACCCGGGGGCGCCTCTCCCTGCAGAACACCTTCCGGCCTGGAAGGGAAGATGAGAATGGATCTGCTGGTGCCTTTTCGGACTGGGATAGCAGAGAGGGCAGAGTTCCTGGGTGAACAGGTGCCAGAACCCCTAGAATCTGAGAGTTGTACTCTGCCTTAGAGATCTGCCTGCTGTGGAACGGGGTGGGGTGGTTAGCGTCCAGCTTTCCAGGCATCCTGGAAAACCATGTGCCCCCTGGGGTCGGTCCCACCACCTCCCCCAAACCTGTCGGAGTTGGAGGCTGCAAGGAAGCTGAGGCCAGGCGGGTCCACAGCCAGGCCAGGCAAAGTGCCAGCAGCCAGCCGCCCGTGTTCCAGGTCTGCGTGGCCCTCTCACGCATCCTGCAGAAAGAAGCACATGCCCTGCTTGACTCCAGGCAGGAGCCACCCCCCAGCCACCCCAGTGCCCAGTGCCACATGCTCTGGGCAGCACAGAGGGGGGCAAGGCCCCCACTTTGTTCCCAGGCAGCTCTCAGCCTAGCACACACTCACTGTAGAAAGTGGTGAGTGCCAGAGTAGGATAGGGGAGAAGGAAAGGACACGTTCTGCTGGGAAACGCATGGAAAGCTCTGTGGAAGAGATGACACTTAGGAAGTGTCTTAAAGAATGATGTGGACATGGTCCCATGAAGGGCTGTGACATGGGAGGAATAATAATGCTAACTCCCATGTGTTGAGCACTTGACCCACACACTCTGCAACCACTCTCTTGAATCCTTCACAACTGTCCTACAATGTAGAATTATTTGTACCCATTTTACAGATGAGCAAACTGATACTCAAAAAGTCTGGACACAATCTAAACAACCATCAATAAAGGACTGGCTAAATACATTCTGGGGCATCTGTGCAAATGCAGTCCCACAGAGAAAGCTGCAAAAGAAAGAGGAAATGCTGTATGTACTGAGGCATGCAGTGGTCTCCAGGAATAACCCATCATTTAGGGGGAAAAAAAGCGAAGTGCAGGGTGATGTGTATTCAGTGTAAAAGGGAGGGATTATATATGTTGTTCAACTATGAGTAAGCTAGCTCACTCTGGAAAATGTACCAAAAGACCCTAATAACATTGTTTGCCACCAAGAAGAGAAAGTAGTGGTCTGAGAGTGAGAAACTGGTTGGCCAAGAAGCAAAGGGAGAAAAGACATTTTTCTTCCTAATGCTCCTTAATCTTTTGGATTCTGAACCATAGGAATCTGCTAGCAATTCAACTTAAACAAAAATTAAATATAAAAAGGAAGAAGTGGAATGGAGGCTCAGAGAAGTCAAATAACTTGCCCAAGACCAGGCAGCATGTGGGTCGGAAAGCCCTGAGCCCAGAAAGCTGCCCCGTTCCCACCGGACCACTTTGCTTTTGCTCTCTTCCCCTTTCCTTCTCCTCCTTCATCCTGTTGGCTCACATCTCCCAAATCTTTCCCAGACAGTGGACTAGAAATGGAGGGAGTCCCAGGGAAGCAGAGGCACAGAGCAGCTGGGAGCCACCAAGTGCAGAAGAGGCCTGAACCACCCTTTCTGCTGCCCTGCTGGCCCCCTGGGGCATCACTGGGCTCCCTCAGGTGTCAGCTTGGTGCTGGGAACACCAGAGGCCAAACCAGATGCCAGGACTCAGTTGCTCCCCTCTTCCTTTTGGAAACAGTGGTCAATCTATGTCTACTCATGCCCCCCCCCCGCCCCCACCGCCCCAACTCCCCCTCTTCAACTCACCTTTTTTGGAATCGTTTAGCTTCTGTCTCTTCATCCACTGGCTTCAGGCTCTACCTAGACAGGCAAGAGAGATTCTTGTGCTTTGCAAGGGACAGAGGGAGCCTGTGGTCCTCCAGGTGGTGGAAGAGGGCCTGGATGAGGGCTAGCGGGTGGACTGGGTACTGAAGTAGAACCTAATTCTGAGACTGTTCCCCAAGGTGCCAGGACAGGGGGTAAAGTACCTCCTCTGCCTTGGGAATTCGCAGAGGGCCTTGCAGACTCTGGGAACATGTAGGGTGGTAAGCCTGAAAAGAGAAGCGGGAGATGGTAGGAGGTGTCTATGAACCAATGCTATCACCTCTCTGGTCTTGGGAAGGGGCTGAAGGCCAGAGAAGTGTTTCTGAGCAGAATCTGAAAGATTGCTGCTGGGGAGAGGCTCCTGAGAATAACAACCCCGAGGTCCTGAATCCTCTTTGCTGCCCCCTCCTCCTCATCCTGCTTCGCACCTGCTTCCTGGACTGCCCAGGAGCCGGCTCAACTCTGCCCCCCTCACCCCCATTCCCCCTCAAGGTTTCTGAGCCCCAGAGGCTTCAGCTCCAAAGGTCTCTTTAAGACCTCCCCTCTCTCAGCCTCCGAAGGGAGGTGGAACTGGGGCAGGTCAGATGGTGGGGCTCCAGAAGGACTGAGAGCCTCCTGTTGTGGCTCCCCAAGACTGAGAGCCCAGAAAGGACTGTGGGGGCAGGTGGAGGAAGTGGCGCCAAAACCCCCCGGGATAGGTGCGCTCCAAGAGCGAGGAGATTCTAGAAGCACCTTTCCTGAGTTTGTATCTCTTCTCCCCACCTCTTCGGGAATATCTGCTTTGATGATTACAAAGGCAGCACCCCCCCCCCATCCCATTTCTCTCTGAGCTGCCACATCCTCCAATCTGTTTTCATCTCTCTTAATGAACCTCAAAATCCAAAAGACCTCGGAGTGTATTAGGTGGGTTCTCTGGCATTCTGTTCCCTCCCTTAGAGAGAGCTAGAGAGAGAAGCTTCTGGGATTTGTCCTCGGGCTTCCACACACCTGCCTCAGTTTCCCAGGCTGTTTCCCCCAAACCCCTGCATGCCAGCATACGGTCGAGAATGTGAACTACAAGATCCACCTTTCTCCACCTCTCCCGTCCCACGCCGACTCAGTCCTCCCAATTCTGAGCCCCCAAGTCCGGGACCTACCTGTCCCAGGCGGTGCCAGCTGGTTCTACCCGCGGGGCCGAGGTTCTCTTCACCTCTGAGCCCAGGATGGAGACCCGAAAGGGGAACTGCGGCCAGCTACGGGGCTGTCCAGTCCGGAGCTCTGTTCCCCTCACCAAGTTGCTGTGTCCCCGAAGCCGTGGGGCTCTGGTCAAAGTGGCATCCCGATCAGGCGGGGGCCCGCTCCGGGCACCGGGGAGCTCCGGGCCCGCCCGGCCAGCTCTGCAGAGCTCAGCCGGGGTCCCTCCGAAGCTCCCGCCCGCAGGCTGGGGAAGTACGCGGCCGCCGCCGCCGCCGCCGCCTCCTCGCCCGGGGCCGCTCTCGCTGCCCCAGCCCAGAGCGGTTGTCGCCTCCGCCTCCCAGACAGCGCTCCGCCCGCCCGGCGGGCACAGCGACCCCTGGCGGTCGAGGCAAGACCAGGGACGAGGGGAAGAGAAGCCAGTCCCGCAATGCGGTGCCTGGTGTAGGCTGGGGTAATTCAGAGAGGTCCCTCAAAACTCTGGACGTCTTAGGGCTTGGGGTGGGGGTGCTGAGTGTGAGGACAGCTCAGACACTCAGAGACTTTGGGCCTTGAAGATTTCCGAACTGCACTGTCTAATAAGGTAACCATTAGTAGTATGTGATTATTTAGATCTAAAAAAAATTACGTTTCTCATTTACACTCATGACATTTCAAGTGCTCAGTTGCCACATGTAGCTAGGGACTACTGCATTGGGCAGAAAAGACATAGAACATTCCCACGATGCACAAAATCCTATTTGACAGTGTTCTTCTGGATAGCTATGTTATCCCTTCAGTGTTAAAATGTTGAAAATCCAGGAGGAAATAAGAAACGATCTCTACTTCAGGAGTGGTGTCCTCTGGGGCAGGAAGGACCGGGGGAGGTATGAGGGTAGGAGTCCAACTGGCAGGAGTGCTTTGGTAGGCCTCTGGGTGACCTCAACTTGGGAACTCTTGAGACCCAGTTTCTTCATCACCATAAAAACCGCAATGTAATTGCCATTGTACAGTGTATAATTCATTACAGGTGATCTGAATGTGAAAGTATTAGACAAATGAGAGAGTGAAGAAGTGGTGGTTGGTGTGTGAATTTGTCTCTTAACTGAAGGCTATTCCTCCTAGTTAAAGAGGGCTTTCGGGTTGGAGTAATGGGGAGGGGAGAGGCAAGGGGAATAAGCCCAGTCTGGACTCTGAGCCACTGCATGTGGCCCAGGAGAGAGGGACTTCTCTTAGGGATGCCCAGTTCCCACCCCTAGCCGAGGCCTTGCACACTCCTGGCAGGACCAGCCTCTGAACAGTTCTCAGCAGAGAAGAATATCCTATAAGACTGCTTCTTCCCACTGCATGCCCGCTTTTCCCTTTCACTCTATGCTGCCTTGGGGATGAGCAGAGGTGGTGACCTTTTCACCAGGTTCTGGGGCAGTCTGAGGATGGAGGAGGTGTGATGATGCCAGGAATAGGTGGTGAGAGGTTCAGAGAGAGGAGATCCTTAGGATTTGGGTATGGTCAGAAGGCTGTTCTGAAGCCCAGGGAAACTGTTGACATCCATGTTGACCATCTGGTGCTGAAACTAGGAGGTCTTTGGGCCCTGGCTCTGTAACCCACTTGCAATCACATCATGATGGATGTTGTGAAGAGCAGGAATTACAGAGCTGAGTGACACAGAGAAGTGGTAAGCCAACTGTCCCAGAAACAATGAATAATAAAAATAGCCAGGATGTTGTATTTTTTTCTTCTGTCTTTGGCCTGCTGTGGCTGTTTATGCCATTTATCTGTGAGCTCATTTCAGTTTTTCTCAAACAGGAGGAAATATCCTTAGCAGCAGCAAGTCCTTTATCTCCATCTTCCTTGCCACTCTGTGTGCCTTTGGGTCTGACTTTTGCTTTTTCTTTTCTTGTGACTTTTTTCTTTTCTTGTGACTTCTTTTTTCTTTCTCTTTGCCCAGAGTGTAGGTGTAATTATAGAAGTCTACCAACCTGAATGACCATTGTGAGATTTTTATTTGGAAGCTACCAGGAAAGTCACCCCTTCTGGGGCTATAGGCTAGCCAGGAACAGAGTCGTGGTCAGGAAGCACCCACGTGACAGAGTCCAGAGGTGGAATACCCATCATGAACTGGGTGCCAGTGATCTCTGAGGACCACCCTAACTTGCATTAGGACCTTAAGGGCCTTGCCCCCATTTGAACTGTGCATGTTCAAGGAAGGAGGACACCTCAAGGAAGGAGGTGTCTCTGGAAGCCCAATCAATTCCCAGGCTTAGGGACCATAGCTCTTTCAGCAGCCTGTCAGTACCGCCCGCCCCGCTCAGGTAGGCACTTAGCCTGGCCTCTGTCTCCCCCCGGTGGCAGTTACAGAAGTTGTTCACCTGGATTGCTCTCAGTCTCTGTGTTATGAGAAAGAGGGGGGGAGAGAAGGAACCCCCACTCTT